AAATAAGTTGCTCTGAGGTTGAGGGAGGGTGGGGGTAGGGGGGTGTCCGGTGCTTGCACAGCGATTACAGAGTGAGAACTACAGCCGTGACAACAGTCCCCGAAGTCAGCTGACGAGGCCTTTTTGGCTGCACCCATCCTCTCTGCTCCGTGCAGGCACTCGCCACTGCACTTTGGTTGCCCACATCCTCCCTCCCTCCCTCCGTCTTTGTTTTTCAGTTTCTCCTGCTCTTTAGCTCGTCTGCAAGTTTGACAAGTCTGTGGGTGTGGATGGTGCGATGTGGCTGCACGCTGATGTGTACTAAGTGTGAAACCAATCATTAAAATATGTGAAGTGTTGCTGTAATATTTCATGTTGAACGTGACCTGTTTAACGTGAAATATTACAGCATGATTTATGCAATTGCTGTTGGCTTGTGTGGTGCTTTGGCTCTACTGAGGAGATGTGAGAAGAAAAATCATGAAAGAGAGCCCCACTTTACTAGCCACATGTTTTTGATGGTGCCTTCAGGTGACAGCAGACCATATGTAGACTTGGGATGGCAAAGCTGCGCACCTCCATTGTGCAACCATGGCTGCTGCTTAAAGCAGAATCTGCTGCGTTTTAGGTCATTTGCTACACACAGAAGGATTATGGGTATGCACTTGATGCAGATGTGCTCTTGCAGTGCTACAAAAAAGCAATCTCCTGTAGACTGTCAGGAAAGGTGCTGTAAATTGCCTAAGAAGTGAGCTTAGACAGAAAGGGACAGACGGTGAAGTTTATCAGATGGGAAGGAGTCAAGAAAAAAAAAAACTAACCAGTGACCAAAAAAGCCAACTGTGGCTGCAGTGGACAGTTTTCACTTCAATACAAAACATTTCTTCCTGTGTTACGTGTTCGATCTACTCCGTGGCAGGGGCAAAGCTAAGCAACAGCAGAACCCAGAAGAGTACCCCCCCCCCAACAAGTTATTCCGTATAATTCTGACACTGCCCCCTGGTGTCAGTACACAGTTACAACATGAAAGCAGGTCTGCAGCTTGAGGTGCAACTTATCATCCAGCTAAGTACACAGTATCACAGGTCGTAGTTGGTCCGCCCTCTAGCACTATGCCATTTAAATGCAGGTAATGATTTGTGCAATGATGGAAAAATAACAGCGAATTACCACTGAAGAAGCAGAAGCTGTGTGATGTCTGCGCTGCCTGCTTTTACAGTTCTGGGTTGCTGGAATTTATTATCTTGTGCTGTGAATACTGTGTGAAATATTTTTTCATGAGATGTTTTATCACACTTGTGACGTGCATCTGGAAACAAATGGCATATGTAATGGTCTCTAATTGTGTCTGGCTTGCACTGAAGGCAAAGAAACCACGAAGTATTATAACAAATGCGAATTTTGAAAATGGCCTCAATCTGTAATTAAAGATTGAGTCATCATTGCTTTAAGTACATAAAGAAACTGTACACAAGGCTCTATAGCTTTCCCTTCATTTTGCATATATTATCATATGACAGCTTTAGATTGAACCCTAAAAATACTTAATAAAATGCATATTAAAGACATGTGATTGCATATGAAGAACATCAGTTCTCATGGCTGCTTTCTTCCCACCGCAGACCCCAGACTCATGGTCCGATAGATCCCACAGCCGGCGAGGAAGCAGCAGCCACAAGCGATCAGCATCATGGGGCAGCGCTGAGCATCTGCGAGAGGTCAGTTCAACTTTTGATTGCTCAACATGCATTTGTAATGCCCGGATTTGCTAAATTTGACGCTTTTTTTTTTTTTTAAATAAATTAAAAAGGGCAAGTTCTTGAAAAAGTCTTGACTTTGACATTGTTGAGCAACAGGAGACTGAGGTCATCTGCAACGTTCCCCTTTTTATACTTTTTAACGAAGCCTCACTTCTCATGATCTCACTGAACATTGAGCCAACATAAAAAAACATAATAATAAAATCCTTGTTTGTTGATACTAAGCGTTCGACATGTGGGATTAAAGGACTTTCTTTGTGTGTTTGCACGTAGAGGCTGATTAACATGTGTTTGTTTCAGATCGCTAAACTAAAACAACAACTGCAGCAGTGCAGCAAACCTGCAGTCTCGGGGGCACATGACAAAGACCGTCAGCGGGGCTATCCTCAGGGGGGCCGTAGCCTTGGAGCTGCTCAGGTACCTTAGCATCAGCAGACACAAGCACACTGAATGAGTTACTTGAGGTTTTAGTGCAGATGTCTCTAGAAGTAAATTTAGGTGTTTTTGTTTTTTCTTCTGTACCGTGTATGGACACCTGTCACTGATTTACATTCACAAGAGCGCATTACTAAGCTATGCAGGTCTCTGCAGGAAGTGAATGAAATAAAACACTGAGGAAACAGGAAGATCACTACATCATGCTAGCTTCTGCTTTTCAGATTGTAATGCACGGTTCTGCTTTTCAGCACAGCTGGTGTGTGGTCCCACACTCCACTGGGCTGTGGTGATTTTTTTTTTTTATCAAATAAACCAAAGTGGTGATGAGACAGTCCCATGCAGTTTATGAGAACACTTGATTATCAGCATTGAGCTTGCTGGATTTTTGAGATGTATGAAGCAAATGACTTTTTGAATGCCTGTGTGCTCTCGAAAAGTAAGAAAGTTTCAGTTTTCTTTGTTGCTTTTTTGTTGTTGTATTTTTAATGGTAACAATTTTTTAAGAAAAGTACATTTAGCTTGATGTTTTTGGAAAATATGGAAATAAAAGGAGCTGAAGGGAACTCAAAAAACGTCCTGGTGTTTGGCTCTTAGGAGTAGTGCAGTAAAATTGTGTTCACTTGTTTATGTGCTCAGACTCAGCCTATTCCCATCCCCCCTGCTCCCCTGGCTACACTGGTCCCTCCCCTGCGCTGCAGCGTGGAGGGCCTCAACCAGGAGCTGGAAGGCATGTTCATCAGCCAGTCACTACATCCATTACAGAGGGTAATTATCACCTACAGAGCCCACACATGCTTGTTTACACAACATGGACATGTGAAGATGTTTAGGCATTGTTTTATTTGCAAAGAAAGGCGGGTTTCAGAGGTGGCACATGTAGTTTTCTGCTGAAGTAAAACTTCTGCGTTGGCCGATTTTCGTTTAATTAAACGTTCTAAAAAGTGCAGTTTCCTGTCTCGACAGCTGCTCGAGGTTCCAGATGGCCATCGGGCTCCGGTGCCTCTGCAGAGCTGCAGCAGTGGATCTCAGAGCGACCCCCCCACCACGCCCCCGCCATCGTCATCCTCCACCTCCTCCTCACCCTGCTCCTCTCCCAACTACATCTGCACCTCTCAGCCCAACTCAGATGCTCCTCCAGACCTGCACCAAGGTTAGTTTGTCAGACATTTTAGATAAGAATTTAAATTTTTATAATGGTGAGAACAAACGTGAAAGTCTTGATTTGCTGACCACTTTATTAGGTACACCTTGCTAGTCCTGGGATGGGCCCCTTTTACCTTCAGAAGTACCTTAATTGTTCATGGCATAAATTCAGTGAGGTGCTGGAAACATTCCTCACATTTCGGTCCACATTGACGTGACGTGTTAAACACATCAGGGGATGGTACACTGGTATTTAAGAGCTGAAAATGGTCATGAGCAGTACTTGGGTAGTCTGTGGTATTTAAATAATGCTCAGTTGATACCAAGGGGTCCAAAGTGTGCCACAGAAATATTCCCACTACACCAACCGGCATGTTGTTACATCATACATGCAATGGATCCACACCCTGCCATCTGAATCGAGACTTTGTTGGGTTTTTTTAAAAAAAATCATTTATTGTCCATTTCTGGTGAGGCTGTGTGAGGTGTAGCTTCAGTTTTACTGTTCTTAGCTGCCAGGAGTGGTACCCGGTGTTGTCTTCTGCTGTTGTAGCTCCACTCTAACATGTTGTGCATTCAGAAATGTTCTTCTGCATACCTTGGTTGCTTGAGTTACTTTTGCCTTGCAATGTCCTCAAACCAGTCTTGACCGTTGTCCTGATATTGAGGTGTTTTACCCCAGAGAACTTCTAATCACTGGTTTTCTCATTTTCAGACCATTCTTTGTAAACTCTACAGATGGTTCTGTAGGAAATTTCAATAAATCAGCAGTTTTCAAATTACTCAGACCAACCCGTCCAGCTAGAACAACCCTGCCACATTAAAGTCACTTAAACTCAACTTTGTTTCTCATTCTGATGTTTGAACGTCAGCAGGTCATCTTGCCTAAAT